CGAGGTGTTGCCGTACGTCACATTTGCCTACAACACGGCCGTACAAGAGACCACCGGAGTGACACCCTTTCAACTGGTGCATGGGCGCAAAGTAACGACCATGCTGGACGCGATGCTGCCCCATGAGCCAGCTGACAGTGAGAGCGACGACGCCCAGGTGGTTGCTCAACGGGCCGAAGAAGTCCGCCAGCTCGCCCGACTCAGGATTCAAGACCAGCAACGCGTCGACGCGGGCCGCTACAACCTTCGTCGCAGGGACGTTCACTTCCAGCCCGGAGACAGGGTGTGGGTTTGGACGCCCATCCGTCGCCGCGGCCTCAGTGAGAAACTGCTGAAACGGTACTTTGGACCATACAAGGTACTTCGTCGCCGCGGCGACCTGAACTACGAGGTGATGCCCGACGGAACACGAACATCGTCACGCCGCCCACCACGACCTGAGGTCGTCCACGTCGTGCGCCTGAAGCCGTACTACGCTCGATAGGACTGTGGACCTTATGTGCTCCAAAAGACTCTTTAGTTTATCGTTCTTTTTTATTTTGCACTGCATCGGGGCGATGCACTTTTAAATGGGGGAGTAATGCCGCGCGCAGGGCTGAGAAAGCAACGCTCGGTCACGGACCTCCAGAAAGTTCCCGTTTATTCATGTAGCGCACGTAACTTCTATTATTTATATCCATGTATCTTCTGCTTTTGTTTTCTAGAAAGTGCGTGTTCATTCTCGCCCCGATCACGCGACGCTCGAGCCGCTTTCGCCGAATCTTCGAGATAGCGACGCAATCTAGATAAGAGGCCGCCCGCGACCTTGTCGAGTCAGTCTCGCTCCAGCGTTCGACTCTGCTGCCACGCCGACTTCGACGCCCGCGACGCTCTTTTATTATCTTTTATACTCTTTTACTTTTGGCACAAGTTCGCCACATGAAACGTTTATTTCTTCCTGTTCATCTATTGTTTTTGGTCACCAGAATTAAGCTTTTAGAATTAAGCTAAAATTGTTTAAACCACCCATACATTACAATGTATTGCCCCCCAAAACAACGAGGGTTTTAGCTGGACAATTTGTGTGCATAACATTTAAAGGGTAACACGAATCCGCAGAAAATACAAGTTGCAGACATGCCGAACGTTGTTTATTGAAACAAGGTACCACAGGTAGAGGGGGTTTCACCCCTCCATTTGCGACTGCGTTTTGTTGGTGTCTGATTTATTATGTGTCTGACGTGTCTCCAGTTATTTTCTCTTTCAAATCCCTATCTTCCTCCTACTGTTCACCATTGCCCTCCTCTTTTTTTTCTCCCTGTTGTTCTTCATCTCCTTTCGCTTTCCCTTCTTCTTCCTGTTTCTTTTTTCCCTCATCTTCTGGCATTTTCCTTTTAGAGCGCAGCTCTTAGGCGCCCGTTTCCGGCTTGAGCGGCGTCGCCGTCGCCGTCGGCGTAACCGCGCGGTGCATTATGGGTAAATTTTACCGAAGGAACCCGAGGTCCACCTGAGGTCCTCCCGAAGGAACCCGAGGTCCTTCGGGAGAACCTCGGGTTCCTTCGGGAGGACCTCGGAAGGACCTCGGGTTCCTTCGGGAGGACCTCGGAAGGGCCTCGGGTTCCTTCGGGAGGGCCTCGGGAGGACCTCGGGTTCCTTCGGGAGGACCTAGGGGGGGGGGTCACGTGACGATGACGTCATCAGTGATGATGACGATGACGATGCGGATGGCGATGACGTCATCAGTGACAATGACGATGGCGATGCGGATGCCAATGACTTCATCGGCATCCGCATCGTCATCGTCATCATCAATGATGACGTCATCATCACGTGACCCCCCCAGGACCTCGGGTTCCTTCGGGAGGACCTCGGAAGCACCTCGGGTTTCTTCGGGAGGACCTCGGAAGGACCTCGGTTTCCCTCGGGAGTACCTCGGAAGGACCTCGGGAGGACCTCGGGCTCCTTCGGGAGGACCTCGGGAGGACCTCGGGTTCCTTCGGGAGGACCTAGGGGGGGTCACGTGACCTGGGGGGTCACGTGACGATGACGTCATCAGTGATGATGACGATGACGATGACGATGACGTCATCAGTGACGTCAATGATGACGTCATCAGTCGTGATGACGATGGCGATGCGGATGCCAATGACGTAATCGGCATCCGCATCGTCATCGTCATCATCACTGATGACGTCATCATCACGTGACCCCCCAGGTCAAGTGATCTCCCAGGTCACGCGACCCCCGAGGTCACGTGACCCCCCCCCTTCCGAGGTCAACTGATCTCCCCAGTACCCTTCCCTCCTTCTCCTCAAGAGCTGCGCTCAAATTCGGCTTTACAGGGAGTTGTAAACGGCTTTCATTTTAGAGCGCAGCTCTTAGGGGCCCGTTTCCAGCCTGAGCGGCGTCGGCGTCGGCGTAACCGGGGGGGTCACGTGACCCTCCCCCCGAGGTCGCGTGACCCCCCCCCCCCGAGGTCACGTGACCCCCCCCCCAAGTCACGTGATCCCCCGAGGTCACGTGACCCCCCAAGGTCACGTGACTCCCCCCGGGGTCACGTGACTACCCGCAGGTGACGTGAGCCCCCTCTGTACCCCTCCCTACTCCTCCTTAAAGGGTAACTGCAAAGAAAAAAAGCTTTTTTTTAAACAGCCTATTCGGGACAAGAATGTCACAAAACAAATGTTCCACGAAAAAAGTGATTTTTTTTATCAATATTTACGCCACAGGACGTAATTTAGTAGAGTCAGAACCTCTCCACATTTGAAACTCGCGCTCTTTCGACCCCCGCGGAAGAGGAGTACGCCCCGCCCCTCACTCTCCTTGCGTTGCGGAGTTGAACGACGCAGCGTCCCTCCCGACTTCCGACAAGATCTGGCAACTACGCCAGGCCGCGGTATTGTTTTGGTTTGACGCTGTTTGCGAGCACATGTAGCGAAGACGTGACCGGAGAAGTGCCCCTGTGATGTTTCCGGAAGACGGAAAGTATCGTTCGTAATCGTGGTGCGCGCTTTGAAAGCGAAGGGAGTCACAGAATCCACGAGTGCGCAACCACAAGCCAAGGTTCACGACAGCGCTGCGTTGGTTTCGGCGATCTCGTTCTGTTTGGTGCAACACGGCGATGCGACAGAGCTGAAACGTTCGTGGTGTGTGTATTGCGGTGCTAACACGGAGCGCAAATTGGTTGTTGTGGGGTTGACGTTCAACCAGTTAAGTCCCGTCGTCGTCAGCTGATCCAGTCAAACTGGTCCGGGAGGACGCTGGGAGCGTTTTTAAAAGTAAATCTGCCTCGTTCTGTTTCAAAATGTGGAAGTTTCCCGACGCATACCGTGAGTTAAAAGCTGCGGGCGTTTTCAACAAAATTACGTCGTTTTAATTGAACAATGAACTCCGAATCGTTGTCCTAAATCTGCCGTTTTTATGCTTCGTGTTGGACTGCGTTTGCACAGCGACGTGTTGCATCGTGCGGTGTGAATACATTTGGGCACGATTTCGTACCTGCCTACGGGAGGCACTCACTTGATCGAATGACGTTTTAGCGAACGCCCACGTTTCATCGAACGACACTTTAGCGAATAGTCGGACGCCGCGAAGCGGCGTTTTCGGGTGGGCCAAGTGAGTTTATATTTTTGTAATGAGTTGCCGCAGACTGTCGCCGCGAAGCGGCGTAAAGCGCAGCGCGACGGATGGGTTAACGCGCGCCCCCGTTATTCGCTAAAACGACCATTCGCTCAAATGTCGCCGTTCGCTAAAATGTCATTCGCTCTTGTGATATGGACCCCCTGCCTACAGATGCATGAACTGAGACCATTTTTCCGTAGTGGACATAGTGCTTTTTTTATTTTCTGTCTAGTCGCGGACGTTAGGTGCACACGGGGCGAATCTCGACGGCCTCCAGAGCGATATGACGAGAACGTAACTAGACACGTTGGTCGCTACGCGAACGCCCGATGGCCTCCAGCCAAATAGCATTCCTTTCGGGGCGACATGGCAGCTGGAAAGCTCACTGTCGGGATCACGCATCTGACATCTCCGAAAAGACAGCATTTGCACACGCAAACAAGCAAAACAAAACAAAAAAAAAAAGCAGGCTAAGCGAGCAAAGAGGAAAACGAAAGAACCGCGCTATGAAAGACAAAACCCCGCGTCGCTTCCTATCACTAACCGCTCATTCACACTGGAAGCGGATCCGCGTTCGCAAAGCGGTTGCGAACGCGGTTGTATAAAGACCCAGTGCAATTGCACGCGCGCTCGGCCATCGAGTGCGCGTGCAATTGCACTGGATCTTTATACAACCGCGTTCGCAACCGCTTTGCGAACGCGGATCCGCTTCCAGTGTGAATGAGCGGTTACACCTGCGACAGCTGCTAAACACACACTACTTCACTTCAAGAAGTCTCACTCAAGTACCTGGGTCAGCACGGAACACTGATCACTTCGGCGAAACGATTAGTCGAGCTAAGCGAGACAGGCGGGAGCAGAGACTTTCGCGGCCATGAAAGAATGGCGGAGCGTTTGTTTGTATGAATCCAAACGGAAGTGCCCGTCTTGTAAACCTTTTGTTAAGAATAATAACTCTCATCACATGGGTTATTCTTTAAACGTAAAAATATGCCGCTCAAAAGGAAATTGCAACATATAACAGAGGTTTAACAACCAAGATCTAAGCTGTCAATCAAACTCTTAGCCAATGAGAACCTTTTGGGATGACGTCACATAATCACAACTTCATGGCGCGCGATTTAAAACGGACGAAATAGCCGCAAACTAAGATGTATCTCACGCAAGAAATATTGCTGTAAAAAATGTTTTTTCTCGCGGAAAAATTGTTTTTTGACATGCTTGTCCCAATTAGGCTATTTAAACAAAAAACTTTTTTTTCTTTGCAGTTACCCTTTATGAGCTCCGCTCCAATTCGGCGTTACAGGGATTTGTAAACGGCTTTCATTATTTTCTTCCTCTTCTTTTTTTTTATCCTCGTTTTTTTCTTTCTGTTGTCCCTCATCTTCTTTCGGTTTCCCTTCTTCTTCCTCTTTCTTTTTTCCCTCATATCCTTGCGTTTTCCCTTTTTCTTCCTCTTCTCTTTTGTCCTCTTTTTTTTCTTCCTCTAGTCCCTCATCTTCTTTCGGTTTCCCTTCTTCTTGTTTTTTTCCCTCATCTCCTTGCGTTTTCTCTTTCTCTTCCTCTTCTTTTTTGTCCTCTTTTTTTTCTTCCTCGTGTCCCTCATCTCCTTTCGGTTTCCCTTCTTCTTCCTCTTTCTTGTTTTCCTCATCTCCTTGCGTATTCTCCTTTTCGTTTTCTTCTTTTTGGTCCTCCTTTTTTTCTTCCTTACCATCTGGCTCTTTCCCTGGCTGCTCCTCTCCCTTCTTGTCATTGTCTGCAGATTCCTTTGGATAAGGGCATCCCTCTTCTATGCACTTGCTTACTTTACCGTTGTACTACAAAACAAAAAAGAAGGTAAAGAGAAACGTGTATTTTCGTGCTGCTTCATAACGTAGGGCTTCTGCAATTGTTCCCGAAGACATTTTGAGAGCCAAGGCCTTCGAAAAATTATTTGTGATCAAATTTTATGATATCCAAAAACTTCTTGGTCACCGGGACAACCGATGTGACTGACTGTCAAAGATGCAAGGCATTTTCCGGAACTAGATACATATTTTTAAAGTAAGTTACATATAAAAATTAATGTTACCTTGTAGAAAACATTATATTTCTAAATATTCGCCTCGCACCGAATCTCAGTCAGCTATCTGTAGCCCGTCATCAAGCCTGGCTATGACTGATGATAAGCTTCTGTTTGATTTACTAGAAGCTACATGAGTTATATGGCAGCTAGATGTGTTCCGTGCTTACCCTGCATTTATAAGACACATCGGAGACTAAATGAGGAGACAAACATCGCCATAATGTTTTAATTGACTAATATCTGTAAACTAAACTTTCAAATAAAATGCTTATGGTAAGTTTGCACTTCCAGTTTTAAAGAGAGCTATTTGGAGGGGCCAAACGACTTCAAACTGTTTGCGAGACACCAATGGCCTACGATATATTCGTAGATAAGCGTTTGCGTTTCTACCGCCAGATTCCAAGACGAGACTAAAAAAGAGTGCTGGAACTTCCGTTATAGCTAAATAAATATTTAATACATATATTTGTTTTATTGCATTGAATTTACAAAGTTGATGCTTTGTTAATGGTGCACAAACGGTGAGAGTCTGGAACAACTTAAATGCGAGATCTATTGACATGGTCTTTTCGCGCATTCACTGATTATTTTAGGTGTTTGTACTCCTCGAAAACGCGGACGTGCGTGTTGTAGAAATATATTTATAAATAGGCATTACGAACGGCAATTCCGGTGCATTGTCTACGTCTTAATTTGAAGCCATTGAGAAGAGCGGGAAAGGTTATAGTTGGATATCTGAAATAATTACTGTATTTAAAAATGGAAGCGGAACACACACCATTAAACCCTTAATTCAAGAATATATGAACACGACTGAGTTATTTAGTTAGCGTACTATGTTGCCCATAATCCTACCTAATATATTCTGCAACCCAGAAACACGCATTCCTGTAAATGTAACCACAGTTTTTAAAAGAAAGAACGTTATGTGGAATTAAAGTCAATCACCATGAATATTTGACAAGACAGGGTTAGTTGTTCCCAGCTCAAAAATGATTCAAAACAAAATGCAACGTCTTCGTCTTATTTTAATCGCTCCCCCAATCAGTTCTCGTGAATTGCAGATTTACTAATACCTACCATGCACTTGGTGCCCAGTGGATATTTCTTCTCTTCGTAGTAATCCACGTCTTTGTCAGGTTTGCAAAAGTAATTGCAGTCGTCAACCGGTTTTCCTTCGGTGAACTAAAAGAAAACATTAAAATATCTAAAATACATAGGGAAGGCTTTCTGCACTTAACCGTGTGCTGCGCAACAATTTTAGCGCTATCAAGATTCTGGTAAATCAACAGATGTTTTTCTCTAAGGTGTTGTATTACATCCTAAAGTCTTCCCACTAAATTGACAACGACGAGGAAATCATTGCACCACATTATTCGTTTTCATGATATATTTGTTTCTGAAAAACTAACGGGCGTTATTGTTAGCTTAAAATAGTTTGGGAAGCTATGAACCTTGGATATGAGCTACACAACAGTACAGGCAACCTCGCGATTAAAATCTCTTCGAGGTTTAAAGTTTTAAGTCTTTCTGGTGAAAGAGGTAAAGCATGACAGGATAAGTTTATTGATTTTCTGTTAGTGCTTAACCACACTCTTTGAACAAGTTCTATAACTTGAAAATGGTATGTTATTTTCTTCATAAGGTTGCAAATAGTCTCGCTTCAGCTTCTCCGTAAATTTAATTTTCAAGTCAGTTTTCGTTCCATCATATATTCATTCTTTTATATATATGTTCATTCATCAGGAAACATTTTTCCCCTTTCTCTGATCCGGTCGCTTGAAAAAAGTGTCGCCACTCCGGATCTCGACATTCATATATGGGAATCTGAGTTCCTCCACGTGTTGAATTATTCGCGTTTTACTGAATTAGATTTTTGTGTTTTGTACTGTTTTTGTGTATAAGCGTGTCTTGAGTATCGTTGTGTATATTCTTGTTACGTACTTACAGTGATTTTGAGGAAATGCACCGATCTATGTTGTGGTCTTAGTTCACTGAACATATTAATTATTGTTTCTTTTTTCCACTTCCAAGAACGTGATACATTACCTCGTTTTCTTTTGAGAAGGAAGAAGTGACTAGAAGAGAGCGAACGATTTGCTGGTCCTAATGTAGTATTTAAGTTAACACGTTTGAAACAGTCCAAGAATCTGCGGTAAGATTTTCACCATGTCACGTAATCACATGGGGCGATGCTCTTTACCCGTACTGTTCCTTGAAACGCACTGCGTCGCCCAGCTTCTACCATCCCCAGGTACCCTGTTCTTTCTTCTGGTTATCCTGGTGTGACGTTATGAACACTCGGCGTTCTGGTTGAAGACGCTCGCTCGTATACAATGCTTCAATCACAAGTGCCTATGTTCTGTACACAAGTTTATTCGGCGTCTATCTCCCACCACTCTAGACTCAAACAAGACCCCTGGCTATCTGGTACAGCATCACCGGCTGACTGTGCGCTGTCAGTCCTGGCACCAATCGTTTCAGGCATAATTGGCAACTACACATCATCATGGCAAGCGAGTGACATAGAAATGCTCTTGCTGCCAGAAAACCCTCGTGAATCATCTGATCAGCCATTCCCCGTGGAGCTCGTTCTGGACTGCTTGCAGTCGGTTGACGGTCAAGAGACGTTTCCGTCTTTATTGTGAAAGTTCCACCTACAAAAAGGCACATTTTTCACTTTCCCTTAGGGGAACGACACGGCCGGCATGCCATGTTCACGCCGTTTTTTCCTTGGTTAATTATTTAAATATTTACAAGTACTGAACGAACAACCTCCATGGCACACTGGCTGCGCAGAAACCCGCTACGCTCGGAAAAATGTTGTACCCCTTTTTTCTTAAAAAGTTCTGGCGAAGTTGTTTGCTGTTTTTGGCGGGTAATACTGAGTTGAACTCAGGTCTTATAATAAGGAGGAACGGCTTAGTATTTCTTTGGACGCAGGTTTTGAATGTAATTGAATCTCTTTAAAAACAAATATTTAAATGTGGTCCTTGGTGCATTCAAGATGCCACCCGAGTTCATCGAATGCTTTTTTTAATACTTTCATGGCGCTTTTTTTACTCTGTCTTTTGTGTATACTGGTAACAGTTTGATGATCCAAGGCGATTTCAATTATCCTTCCTCTCTTTGCTCCCCACATAATGTGCATATTTTATCGAAATTTGCCTTTACTCTATCCTCTCGCAGCTTGTAACCATGCCAACCCGGTCCACTGCTTTCTCTTCAAATATCCTTGACCTCATCCTTACTACGCAACCAAATATATTTCAGCCAATTACCATCTTTTCGGGCATATCTGATTATTAAATATTGTTCACCCAAGCTCCATTTACTACAAAAACATATTGTTTGCAAACCAATTACAATCTGAGAGAGGGCTAATCATAACGCGATTAGCTGTGAATTAGAATGTCTTTTTAAAGAACTATTTTCCCACAGATTTATCCATCGCAGAGTCGAATGAAACTGGGAGATGTACAAACTTAAAATTTATGCTCTGCTCGAGAAGTCAATTCTATCAATGTGTTATCAAGACGTCTAATACTTGCCCTGGTTTACCGTCGGCCTGAGAAGCCATCGCGATAAGAAAAAAAGAATATCTTTAGGCGTGTTACGGACCGAGACGGTCCATTAGTTTGGCAGGTTCACGATCTTCCGGTTAAGAAAAGTTATCAATGTCATCCTGACGTTATTTTATAAAGAAAATGGTGCTCATCTAAATATATGTATCTTCACAATAAAAAACGGTTTTTTTTTTATTACTTAATCGACTCACAGCTTTTTGGGCTTCCGCATCCCTTTTTGCGCATGAGCGGTCTTCTTTTTCTGGCTCATCTGCACGTTCATATGGCCCATTGCCTGCTGGAGCGCCGTACACTATTGACAGCAGACCTAAAAAGACAAAAAAACAAATGTCTCAGCAGCACTGACATACAGGGTGTTTCACGAGAGGTGGGCATATTTGATATTGCAAAAACTACGCGTCGCAACAAAGAAATGCTTGTTTCGTTTTGGTCCTGGGACAGGAACCCATTTAGAAAAATTGTTAAAATCCGGGATAATTAGATTGCAAATATTTTCGCGTAATTAACTCTTTAGTATTGTGTTTAAGGGCATGGTTTCAATTAGAAAATTGCCCAGCACCATCGAAAAACACTAAATCAACAAATTGCAGAACGATAGAAGGTACGCTCATCATTTTACGGCTTTCCGGAAAACCGCACAAATTCGACGGGTTTTTAGGTTTCGCTTTGCAATCGCATAGCATCTCAGCCCAGACTGCACCGCGCCCCGTGGAGAGATAGTGCAACCAGCCTCTGCTGCGTTGCTCGAGGACAGCGCAACAGAGGTTGGTTGCACCATTTCTCCATGGGGCGCGGTGCCGTCGGAGCCGAGATGCGATCCGATTGCAAGCCGAAACTCAAAAGACCAGTTGAATTTGTGCGGTTTTTCAGAAAGCCGTAAAATGCTGCGCGTGCCTTCTATCGTTCAGCAATTTGTTGATTTAGTGCTCTTCGATGATGTTCAGCAAGTTTCTAATTGAAAGCACGCCCTTAAATACAATATTAAAAGGTTAATTACGCGAAAATAATTAACAATCTAATTACCCGGACTTTAATAATTTTCCTAAATAGGCCCCTGGCCCAGGACCAAAACGACACAAGTCTTTTTTGCTGCGATGCGTAGTTTTCGCAATATCGATTTTGTCCACCTTTCGTGAAACACCCAGTACAATAGCACTAGCAATAAAGGCGGATCAGCAAGGGCGTGGTAAACATAGAAGGCGGCCTTGATTAACCTGTAAAATTCGGTGACGTTGAACCCTCATGGGCGTCGTGGAATCCTTGGTTAAGGTGTTTAGAGGCCCTGCTAGTACTGAGGCAAGACAAAAACCAACGGTAAGACCTGTGGTCTTGCCGTATATGCACAAGGTGTCCCATGGTGTCAAGAAGGTTGCCAGTAGGTACAACGTGCCAGTTGTGTTTTCGGCTCCAGCTAAGTTGGGGCGGCTGTGTGCAGCCGTGAATCGAGGTGGCCGCGTGGGTACACAGTGTCAAGTAAAGCACCGCAACCCATTTGTCGCCTGCGCGTGTGGGGTGGTGTACCTTATTCCATTGTCCTGTGGAAAAGTGTACATTGGGCAGACGGGGAGATGTGTTAACGACCGGGCGAGAGAACATTCTCTGTCCTTACGCTCCTCCCCGTCTGGCAACCTAGCGGTCCACTGTGACAGATGTGCGTGCTCTCCAGTGTTTAATGAAATTAAGATTTTAGCCCGACATAAAAATAAGTATGCTCGGGAGATTGACGAAGCTTTTTTTATTGCCAACCATGACGCAGGCAAGTGTATTAGTGTTCCATCACTTGCTCTAGTTAGTGATGAAATTAATTTTATCAGAAGGGCGGGGAAATACGTGTAGCCACGTGTCGGCTTGAGTGGAGGATGACGTGTTTTCGGGGCGATTGCTTTTATGTTTGTCTTCCTTCAAGTTTACTTGCTGAATGGTGCAGCAGTAAATATTTCAGTTGTAAGTCAGCGCTGTGTCTGTGTGGTTTCTTTTACTGGTCCTTCGTCTTTCTGCGCTGTTTTAACCCATTCAATATGACCATCAACCAACTCGCCCAACTTTCCACCTTGTTGCATGCTAATCTTCTAAACATTTTGCCTTTTAAACTGGAATAGAAGATGTGAGATATTTTACGTCGAAAGTACCGACGTTAAATATCACTCATAAAAAAGCGAGAAACAGCTTTTGAAATTATTCCCTTGCCTGTAGTATTCCAGAGTGCAATTTATAGGTAAAACGCAACAATCTATTGAGAGAACTTGACGCATGAAAAAAAACGGAGGAACGTTCTTCCTGAAAAAAGCGAATAGACTTAGACACCAAGTTCACGTCTAGTAAGTACTCACATCATACTCAGTATCGCATCGGAGACGCGAATTCAAGGCTAAACTTTTTTCCCGCCTGGTCAATCATCGTAGATTGTAGTCATTCCTCATCTCTTAGAAACACAAGGCCTGCACGCTTACACTATGATGATAGCTGCGCTACGCTCCCAACACCGTTGACGCCGTCTGACCATACCAAAACCACTCGCTCAGTTATAGCATTTGTTCTAGTCTAAAATTACTACTCCGGTAGTATAATCGAAAGCCGAAATGACATGAGTAAGTCGACACCATGGCTCGCAAATCTCCGTGTTCTCACACGGGTAGGACCGCCACCTCGGCTCATTTTCCTCCGTCTGCTTTAGACAAAGCGCCCATAGAACCTGATTCCAAAAAAACAGTTGGTGTGTTCAAGAGGGTGAGAACTAACACAGAATAGTTTTCGCTTATTGCAGTAAATCGATCGTCTCGAGGAGAACTTTCCAGATTTAATTAGCTGTGCTTCTTTTCTAAAGTCGGAAAAGATGCCAATAACGTGAATTCTGATATTTTGCTGCTGCTCTCTATGTAATAATGGCGGCGAGAAAATATTTTGATCACAGATGTTCCTCTGTATGATACTGCGTGGGAATGATGAAAGATTCTAATTTTATTTGATATCAGAGATCTCACTCTCAAGAAAAAAGGCTGTAAAAGGGTGTATCGTTACACCTTTTGCCCTTATAATACACCCCAAAACTTCAATTCGACGTACAGCGCCCTATAGTCAAACAGACGGCCCCAAATTTTACGAGGGGCTTGATAACGGTGCGATATAACTTATTCAATAGCTAAAGTACGTATCAAAGACCACATAAAGAAAACACCCAGTTTTTACAGTAGGGCCAAGAAAACCCCGATTCTTTTTGTTTGTATTCAGTAAAACGTACATTAGCTATTTTAATAAGTTGTACTGCACGGCTATCAAGCCCCTCGTAAAATTTGGGGCCATCTTTTCGACTGTAGGGCACTGTACGTCGAATTGAAGTTTTGGTTTGTATTATATTGGACGAAGGGTGTAACGATACACCATTTTACACCCATTTTTCTTGAGAGTACTATCGTCACTTGTTTTGAGAGGAATGATCCATCCCCTCTCATTCGCCGACGTCACTGCACCTGCGCTTGTGAGCGCTAGTTAATAACCTCGGGTTTTCTTTCTTCCCACGCTCTCAGAAAAACAAAAAGTCATCAACTGCGCGTTTCTCTTCCTTCTACTGACGCGCTCAAGCTGACACGAGCAGAAGGGAGGAACGAGATGTTGTTCTTTTTCTCCAGGCAGACGTGAATCTCCCTTGAGAAGACGTTGGTCTTCCTGTTCAAACACGCAGAGCACCTCGGTTACATTGACGCTTTTACCGCTAGTTTTGTTAAACGTGCAAGCTAAGCCGTTAGGAACAGCTAAAACTCGGAGCAATGCCAACAGTGCTATCTACACTGGGCTAAAATGCCCGTATTACCAACTTTGTGTCCAAATAAGCAGGTTTTCCTGCCGGGTGCCTGCGCGCCTTTTGCACTAGGTTTGGGTCTGTTTCCTGTTACCGAGGGCCGTCCAACGATAAACGCGGTTTTTTTCTTAGGTGAGTTACCGAGATCGCCACGGCATTGATGTATGTTAAAAAAAAGTCCAGAACCATCGTCGACGTCTCCATGTGTTTCGCGTATTAGTGGTGTAGCAAGAAGAGATTATGTGAACGGACGCAGGTTGACATTCTGCTTCATATTATAGGGTGTAATAAGACCGCTTGAAAAATTATGAAAGAATCGTTCAACTTTCGGAAAGTCATGTTGGGACTCTTTTCTGAAAAGTACCTCGTATCGTATGTGACCAAATCAACTGTCCTCTGCAATACCGTGTTGCCCCCTTCTCAAGAGCGATTTGGATCTCGGGGAATGTCTGAACTTTCTTGAAACATGACAAAAAGAAAATGCAAGGTGCCAAAAAAAAATGCAGGTTTTTTTGGTTTTTTTTATTGCAAAAATATACTAATAATCGCTGAACGCTCATTCTCCGCCTAAAGGTAGCGCTAGAAGTCACAGCCAGATGCCAAAGTTTCAGCCCGATCCGATACCTTATTCAAAAGCTATACGTGATTTTCTGAAAAGTTCAATGGGAAAATGGCGGCCGACGGAGTTTTGGAATACGTCGGGCTCTATGGCGCCAGAAACCAAAAACGGGCAAAAATGGGCTCCATTCTCCCATTGAACTTTTCAAAAAATCACCTATAGCTTTTGAATAAGGTGTCCGTTGGGGCTGAAACTTCAGCATCTGGTTATGACCTCTAGCGCTACCCTTGGGCGGAGAATGAGCGTTCAGTGATGCCTAGTTTATTTTTGCGGTAAAAAAGTACCTGTAATTTTTTTTGTGATACCCCGTACTTATGCATATTTAGTTTGGAATATTAGCATTAAACGATATCAGATAGAAGACCGATGTGGTACTTGGAAAATTTCCTTTCTGTTGTACCCGGATAGTCTTTACTCGACAGTCGGCAGCTGACTGTCGACAGTTGACAAAATCCCTACCTGCCACCTTTTTGTTTTGATTTATGCACTTAACTAATCTCGACTCTAGATGTCACTGCTAAATGACATATAAAAGTAAACATCTTCGACAGAAATATATCTGTTTTTGCGAAATTGAAAGAAGCAAAGAAATCTCAAACAAAAAGCTCAGAAAAAATTAGTTTTTAACGTTTCGGGTCGCCTTGAGTTATTCTTCAGGGGGTGACTAAATGAAATGGGGCAGCGAGAGCTCCGACCTCTGCTTCCTCTTCTACCGAGTTGATGCTTTGTTAACATGACGAAGGCCCTAGACGTAAATAAATGGTAAGGCACCGAATGGCGAATTTTCATTTATGGTAATTGATGGCGCCTTAGCATCGAACGGAGTCCATGATGTTTTTAAGTGATTTGCATGTGTACGTTCTTGCTATGTGTGAATTTTACTCTGTCGTATGTCGTGGCGCACGAGCTGTACGTGTGTCCATATTAAAGATGTTTAAATCTCAGCAGTAGAGGAAAGATCGTTTTGTGACGGATGAATTGCACGGCGCCTAACGGCACCTAGCCTAGGCATTAGCACTGACTCAGCCCGTGCCTGCATCTGGTGGTTTGAAATTTAACACTCTTTTACGCTTCGCAACGTTTTTTGACTCTGCATTAAGCCAAGTAGGCTGCTTCGAATTAGTTTTTCGGGTACGACTTTTGGTTTCACGAATGGCTAACAACTCATGTCTGACGTGCGGTGGTAACGAAGGAAACGTGTCGCTGACAATTGCAAAGGTGAGACATGACGTACGCGCAGTGGTCGGGTTTCGGCTGTCTCCTTTTAACATCGCAGTGTTGAGCACGAAAGAATCGAGTTACTGCGTTCGTAATGCGTTTCCCCGCCTTTGTGGGAAGCCGTCAAGCGGCACTCTATCTGAAGTAGAAGACAAGTGAATTTATTTTTGCATGCACTTTCTGTACATTATGGACTTAGCCTAAATCACACAGAAGCAATGACCGAAAACATGCCAATCCAGAGGGTCAAGATATACCTTGCTTAACGCCGCTACCGCTTGCTCCCTTTGGCCTAACTTGAGAGACATTGATGACGTCACCAATTAAGGTGCGCACGCCTTGAGTCTCTACAATATATTGGCTTGCTCTACAAGAGGTCAGTGTCAAAGCTGACGCACTGAAATTTTCTGAAGTTTAGGAAATAATTCCATCTCGTGATAGACTAAATTACAATAGACTAAAATTGTTACGGAGACATGTTAAACCAAAAATAAAATAATTTTTAGCGTGATAACCAACGTGAACTTCCGTACTTAGCTCGTTACACTGTAATATAACTAATCTAATTAATTACTTCTGACGACATTGTCATTTCATTGTCAAGGGCTCACGGAAACAGACATGAGGTCTGAAGAAAGGTAAAAAACTCAGGCGAGCTGTTGAATGACATCCATAGTAACCCTGAGATGTAAGAATAATAAAGAAACAGACTTCATTGTTTTGTTCGTTTCTTTAAGTATTCTTACGTCTCGGGTTACTGGAAGCCATAAGGTGTATTTTTGCTTGCCAATATACGGTATAGATCAACGTAAACGTAAACGACCAAACGACGTTTGAAACAAACCATCATGCCCCGCCTTGAGACGAGAACTTTTACTCGAGTGACTCAGCATGCCCATGTAACGAACTGTTTAGGCGACACCAGTATCATCCAGCCAGATATGGAAGCCAGCTCCTGAAACGGATCGGCTTTATATTTCTTTTATGCTTAAGTCCAGGCGGAGCCGACGCTACGATCTAATGGGCCAAATAAAGCAGCATAAAGAGCGCACGTCAGTGGGCCTTTTAGTTTTTGATTATTTCGCCGATGATAGAACACGCAGAGAAGCATAACGAACAATAAAATAGCTCCCGCTTGACTTTGTCTGATTAATCCCGCGAGCCTGTAGCGTCGGCTGCGTCTAAAGATAAAAGGCCCCAGAAAAGATAATAACTTTCTTTTTTAACAATTTAATTGGCGCACGCGTTTAAAAAAATTAATTTTACGCGAAACAAAAATTTTAGAGCCATATTGACGGTGCGAGACGCGATTTAGTCGATAGTCACCTCCTTTCCACTTGTTTTCTTTCTCGGAATTTCGGGCGCGTGGAGGAGAGGTGGATCGGCTTCGCCTTCGCGGTGAGGTGGAATGCCCGAATTACCATCTGGTTGAGCGAAGGACCATTCCGTGACGTCATGGACTTTGCGCCCAGAATTTCCAATAAATTAGTTAATTTCCAATAGAAAAGTTATTTTTCGCCTAAAATATGTTTTTTTGACACGCGAGTCCCAACTAAAAAGTTTAAACAATAAAGCTTTTTTTTTTTTTTTCAGGAACCTTTAAGGCGAAACGAAGTATAGCAAAAGCGCAGGAGCGCAGTGCATTGAAATCCTCACCGAATCAGGAAAACTAACATTCTCAGTCACAGTGCCACCACACCGTCGTCCGCGTCCGTATACTCGAGCGAATTCAGCTTCGGGTCTCGAAACGTGGTGGCAACTGTCGCTCGGTTGGAGTGTTGTGTCCGTAACCGAACTTGGGTAACGAAATAGCGGTGCTCGTTAATTCGTAAAAACTAAAGTGTTGCTGAGGTCCCTGACCGTCCTGCAATTGACACGATATATTGTTTCCGATAGCTCCAAAAACTAACAATCGTAACTTTTGTGTTACTTTTACTTTACTGTTTATTTGGCAGCGATAAGCCATGAATGCAAACTTCAATAATTATTAAACCGCTACGGAGCGCCATATCGTTTAGTATATTTCTTAATATTTGTAAATATACATTTTTCTCCATGAAATCGGGAAGCTGTTGACACGAGGAAGAAAAATATAATGTTCTTTTTTTGTCAAGGTTTACAGACTGTCAATTTATTTAATTTTTATACTAAAAGAAAAACAATATTACTGAAAAGTAACGACTAAGAGAATTGGGTAGACGATACCGTAAAATAGTAACAAAATATTTTACACGGTTCTGATTTAAACAACTAGAGAGTTACTGCGATCCTTCAGAAAGTAATGCATTACCAGTAAAGTCGTTACTTGTAGCTGCTTGTTTGTCACTAGGTCGTGTCAGCCTACCTTCTTCAAGTTAAGCTTTTGAGAGTTCGTGTCAAATCAAAGGACATCTGGCACGCTCCAAAGAAGGACTGAGAATGAACGTTTTTGGAGGGCAACCGAAATCTCGGCGACACGGCACCATCTCCGAGTAAGCATCCTTCACATTGGGAACACTACGGCCGAAATTCGCGCTGGCCAACTGGGGATCCGCATGCTGTAAATTTGCATCGGAGCTACCAAGGCGGCCTCCTACGTTCTCTGATACCAGATTTTAGTTCTGCGAAAAATAATGTTATTCTGGAACGAAATCAGTTGTTAAGAACAGTGTTATACAGACAGCTTTAACGCACTTCGTTACAGTTTCGCATTACCTGCTACTGCAGCAATAATCGGGAAGGCTTGAATCTTCATGGTGAGTTCTGGACGTCCTTGTGGCGCTTTCAGAAAGCATGTCACCGTCTTTGACTTTTATAGTTCACAAAAATTTCAAGAGCGCAGTTGTCAGTAAACAACATGAAATAAAAAGAATAGAGGATTGCCAGGATTTGAGATTTCCAAAATATATTTTGTTTCCGTCAACACTTTTCTCTTTCATTTTCTTTTTCCTCTGTTGATCGAACGTAAAGCACGACATATAAATGGTCGAGAAGGACCTTCACATTTGTGAAGCTCTCTATATTGTTCCTCAGATGCCGAACATGTCCCGGTTTAGAAAGAAACCTTTGATCTATCAGAAAGAGAACCCAGTGCGCTTTGCTTTTTTTAATACATTATTATGGCTACCACGCACACGCGTCTCCACTTTTCGAGCCATAAACATAGTTGAATTTCGTCCTATCTTCACATGTACAGTCAGCACGGAATGAAACCCGAACGCCTGAACGCGTGGCCATTGACACAGGTTGCTCCACCTGGAGGGCCCCTGAGAACCAATGAAAATGCACCTGGGTGCGAGGGTGCGGGTCCTACTAAGATATCCTCAACCCTCGCGCGGGGCGTCTGGGACTTCCGTGTTTCGCCGGTGGCGCGCTGTAAGCGCCGTCACTCGGGGTGCTTTTCTGTCGCCGCACTATCACCTGGTCGACACCGGGCGTCCACTTAACCTGGCTATAGCTCTTTGCGATAGGCCCTGCTCAGACAGGGTGATGAATTTATTTCACTCCGGAATTTATACATTTATACGGCTGGCATATCGGTGGTTACCAAAGAGAGCGTCAGCAAGCAATTCCTCGCTTTTTAAGATCCGACTGATAACCTCGCACAAAGACATGGGCATTGCGCATAAAAACCGAGTCATCCGCGTCGGTCTGTTGCAGCATTATTTTTCTCATAAAGAGTGTGGTCGTGCGAATAAACAAATTTTATTTCGCGTTTATGACGTTTCACTATTTCTTAGAAACCGCGCGTGGCACTTTGTTCACCGGAGCCCCAGCTTGGTTCCGCTGACACGTCATCAAGCGCTACGGGTCTTCTGTACACGAAATGTTTCAACTTTCATTTCGCCCTTGCGATACACAGAGCGATAATGAATGACAGCGCTGAGGAGATATCGCTGGGAATCCGATGCACAAAGTGAGTGACAGTGCTTTTTGTATCGGATGTGACGGCGCTTACAGCGCGCCACCGGCGAAACACGGAACTCCCAGACGCGCCGCGGGAGGGTCGACATCATTCAAATTCAAATTCAAATTCGTTTATTTTTGCCACAAAGGGTACATTTGTGACAGGGGCGCTGGAAAAAAAGCTGCAGGTCTGCAGCTTGACGAGTCCCACCGCTTCAGAACAAGGTAAGAGCAAGGTAAGAGCGGCACCGGCACATACAGACAAAAAGAACGAATATGTGCACACATACATAGGCATACACATATACAGAGGATAAACACGAGAAAAACATAAATAATTCAACTTCGCAATCAACAGTATACAAAAAGGTGGTGGTTACTTATTATAAAGCTTCTTGAATGGAACAATGACTAATGGTGTGCATTTCAATATCACGGGAAAACAGGGTGTTTAATAAAAGTGGTAGCTGGTGGCGATATCTTTGTATACCGAAATTTGTCCTTGAAAAGGGAATACGCCAGGGGGGCCTATGTCACGATGGGTATACAGACTCGTTTGCTTCTAGATTACCAAGATCTAAAGAAATGACATTATTTTCTCTTACGGATCGTTGATAATTAGCTATCAGTCTATGTGCATACAAATTGGTTATATCAATGACTTTATGTTTTTCAAAAAGAGGAAGGGCATGATAGTCACGCGGAACAATTTCGATTATCCTGAGTGCCTTTTTCTGTAATAGGCGTAATTTGTTAATGTTGCCCTTTGTAGTCGAACCCCATACCAGGTGGGAGGAGCAGAGCACAGGGTAAAACAGAGCATTGTAAATTAATTTTTTAATATTTACCGGAAGTATGTGCCTGAATTTATTCAGTATTCCGACAACTTTGCATAGCTTTTTATGAATATAGGCAACATGATTATTCCAGGACATGTGACAAGAAAATATTACTCCCAACGTCTTTATACTATCGACGCACTCTATCGCACAATCCCCCAAAAACAAATCGCGCGACAACCTAATGCGTGGTCCTGGACACTGAAATAAAACTGCCTTTGTTTTGGATGTGTTAATAACTAGGGAATTCATAACTACCCACGATTTTAATTTATTTAAAAATAATTCGCTTTGAAAGTGAGCACCCCTTCCCTAGAATCACAAAACAATATGCTGGCATCATCCGCGTATATAATAAATTTAGCAGACGTTTCAATATTTACAATATCATTAACATAAGTGATAAACAATAATGGGCCTAGAATACTTCCCTGAGGGACCCCGGAACTAATGCGTTGCATAGAAGATCTGTTATTATTAATTTGAACGTATTGGAAACGGTGCTGTAAATAGGACCAAATGAGTGCTAATGGAACTCCTCGAATACCATAACAATCTAATTTATCAAGAAGAGTTCTGTGATTTATCCGGTCAAATGCTTTACTGAAATCTACAAAGATCCCCAACGTTAAAAGTTTACTCTGGAAATATTCTAATATTGTCTCTTTTTGTACTAATAAAGCAGTTTCTGTAGACCTACACCTTCTGAAACCTAATTGCGAGTCCGTCAACACAGAATATTTTCCAGAAAAGGTTAATGGTCGAGAATATATTATCTTTTCCATTGGCATCAAAAACAGGAAGAACAGATATGGGGCCATGATTACTCATGTCATTTTTATCCCCGCCCTTATAGAGGACAGAAACTTTAGCAACTTGCATGTTTTTTAGGAAATACACTAGATGATAATATGAGATTATACAAATGAGTTATGCATGGTAATAATAAATCTAGTACAAATTTTACAGGTTTGATTAAGAGGTCATCACAATCACGACTACGACTATTTTTCATATTCATAAACACCGAGGATACTTCTTCAGTATCAGTGGGATTCAAAAACATAGTTTCGCTAGTGCAAGAGACGTTATCTTTGGCATTACTATTGTAAGTGCTATTCCCGACATTCACGAAGTAATCATTGAATTTATCTGCAAGTTCACTACCGGAAATAATTTCATTGCTTATAGTCATGTTAACGATGGCTGTATCTTTAGATTGGCTACGCAGAAGAGAATGCAGTTGCTTCTAGACTATATCGGGCTGCCTTAAACAGGATGAGTCAAATTTAACCGCGTAATAAAGCTGTTTAGCTTGTCTTAATTGAGCGTTAACAAAATTTCTGAACTTTTTGAATTCGCGTAATTTTTCTTCGTCTTGTGTTTTCACAAAAGAGTCATAAAGTACGTTTTTCTTTTTAATGAGTTTCAAAAGGGGACCATTTACCCACGGCTTCCTAGCTTTCTTGTTTCGACGGATGCATTTGATTGTAAATGAGGTGGAGTAAGCATTTTTAAAAGTACTTATAAAAAAATCGTAGCACTCATCAGCATCTGTAGAATTAAACATAGGACTCCAGTCTATTGTGCTGATTGTTTCTATAAATTCTTCCAGTGTCCTAAAACGTATGTCTTGAGACATTGTTGAAAAGTTTGAAACTGCGCTATCTGACATATTCTTATTGATAAACATGATTATTGGAAGGTGATCGCTGATCCCATTACTAAGTACACCAGCACTAATATTATTTTCATCATGATTATTTAGAAATAGATCAAGCAATGTCGATGTGGTGCATGTGACGCGTGTTGGAGGGATAATTACATTGAAAAAAAATGTTTGAGGTTAATAAACCAACAAAATCAACTTTAAGATGAAAATCTTCAAGCATATTTATATTAAAATCACCACCCAGAAACAAGAGGCACCTCTCTTGATTAGCAAAACAAAACAACGCTTCTAAACATTGCATGAAACTCAAAACATTTCTATTTGGAGGACGATATAGAACAGAGTAAATGTGATTTCCTTTTTTAACACAAAGTATTTCGTAATCTCGGGTCACAATAGAATAATCACTGAGTATTTCAAAACCAGAGGCACGAGTTTGCAATGAAACGCCACCACCGCGACTATGACTGCGGTTTAAAAAGAAATGAGTGTAGCCTGGAAGAACAAAAAAATTATCATCATTTCTATACCACGTTTCAGACATCATGACAACATCAAAAGAAGTTTGGATTGAGTCAAAAAACAATGAAATATCATCCTCTTTTAATCTGGCGGATTGCACATTTGAATGAAATAAACTCAACGATCTAGTTGTCTCTTTTTGAAGGAAGGTATTTATACACTCTACCGTCAGAACACCTAAATTTTGAACCATGGCAGTAAAAAGGGAAAAATAGAAAGAGACACGTCAGCTGTATTTAGCGGATCTTATCAAGATCTCCAGAGTCAGAAATAGTAACGACAGGGGTCCCATCCGCCTTCCTTGCAAATATTTTAGAGTTACGTACCCAAACGTATCGCCACTGGTGCTCACGCTTCTTTGAGACCGCCATTCCTAGCAACTTTTTCAGGGCGGGGCACAAGTGTTCATTTACATAGATAGGAGATGATTCAGGCAGTCCGAAGTCTTGGCAAGTAATTCTTTTTTTCTTTGCCTTGTCGAGAACAGAGTCTCGTTTTTGTCGCCGCTGAAATTGCACTATCACGTTGCTCTTTGTCGGATCTCTCGTGGGAACACGATGACATGCTTCTATATCAGAAAGGGCGATCTCCTCTCAGATGAGGTCACCAAGTTTAAATACCAGATCATTCACGTTATCCTAGTAGGACCCGCACCCTCGCACCCGGCGCATTTTTATTAGTCCGCAGGGGCCCTCCAGGTGGAGCAGCCTGTTCGGGTTTCATTTCGTGCTGACTGTACACGTGTAAGCAACATTCACTTCTCTCTCCCCCGCCTTCCCTTCCCATAAAAATAATTTTATTGCAAAAAGAACATTC